TTCATTCTCTCTTAAAAAAAGATATTAAGTAGAGTCAGGACGTTTTATATTTGCTGTATTGTAGCATGTTCATGCAAGATAAATTCGACAAAAGAGGCGTCTTACAACAGGCAAAATGAATGTAGCTTTAATGAACCAGTAGAAATTGAAAAAAAGATATTAATTATGTCCCACTTCACCCCCAAAAGATTGCGGGAAGCCACTGTTCTTGTTACAAAGAAACTCTTATTCTAGCTCTCTATTAAACAAGAGGAGGCTACCAGTGCCACCACATTTATTTGAATGAAAACAAAGGAATCTACACTCAAGTATTAACTTCATAGAAGCTGTTGCACAACCATCAATGGCAATCGTAATTCCACCTAACTATTTGAAAACTTTGGCAGAAGGTAATACGTATGTGGTTTATTGCCTTTTACTGAATGATTTTTTTGAATTACCACGCGAAGATGCTTTCTCGTTCTCATTACTTTGCAGCAACTCACACGTGTAACGCCTTCGTACGGTACAATAATATGGCGGATGATGTGCTGACAGACCAAATCACATATACATACGTGGGAGTGACTGGGTGATGTAAGAAAGCATCAGAAGATACGTATACAGGACAGGGCAATGTAAAAAGCGTTGGAGGATATGTGGTGCCCAGCGTATATCGGGTAACGTAAGAAGCGTCGGAAGATACGTATATTGAGGCAGGGCAATATAAGAACGGTACGTGTGATCAAAGTATACTGGAGTGATGTAAGAAGCATCGGAGGGGTTAAGCGGTTAATATTTGATGTAAATCGGCAAATAGTTGGAGATAGGACATTCAATACTTTTTCGTGGACAATAAATATATTAATTTAGTTTTAGCGAATATGTATTATTGTCTTTTTGTCTTTACCTTTCCTATCAATTTCCAAATTCATCGATTTTTTAGATAGATCAGATGAGATTTAAGAACAACTTCTTTGGCGAGCATTACCGTGCTTTTCCTAGGTAAATGATTGGTGGGTCAGTTATACTAACTAATGGGAATTACAAATTATTAGACTTGTTTACAGTCGAAGGAATAGTGCATAAGACAAAAGCATTATGTGATCGGCTTCGGTAACTGCATGACTGTAAACGTACGATTGTAAACGCGGAACATCCCGGTGGACGACCGGCTATTTGTTTTTAATATTAGAAGCAACACAAGGTTGTCCGAACAACTATGTGGCCTAAGAGTTAATCTTCCTTATGATGACATTACGAGATTGCTTTAGTTAAGACCAAGAGCATGAAGGCGCGCATTTCTGCCCAATTATCTTCTGTGCAGATGACACAGCCTATATGATAGTTTATGCATTCATATCTGTCTATCTGTGCACATATTTTATACAATTCTCTGTACAAGTAGTTTCGACGGCCTTTTACGATTTAAATACCATATTACAATTCGTCATTGCGACACCAATAAGATGATTAATACCTCGAGTTGTTAGGATAAATCTGGCAACAGCACTCGTTGTCAGTACCGAATTGTTCCTATCAAATAAATGTATGGTGTGACCAATGAAATAAACTAGTTAACGGGACAGACAAGATTAAAGTAGACAAGAGTCGGGGCTCATAAGTGTTAAGTTCGACGATTAGCTAGCACACAAGTTTATCAAATGGCTCATCTAATAATCTGGTAATTGTTGTAAAATTGAGGGCTATCACTACCATCCTAGTTTTGTATACGTTCGTGTTCCCGACAAAACATGCATAGGTTCAAAATGGGGATGCAACTAGGGACGACTGTACACGTACAGATTGCTATCAAATTTCAAATATTTAAAGTTTGAACGATATTCTGGAATGTAAAAAAGGTTGTGTGACTTTATGGAGGGTGTTGTTCTTTTAACTTCCACAAACAGTAGATCATGAATGCATGAGTGACTAATACTAATAAGTGTTGTGTTGTGTTACCCGAATAATCAGCGCATCTTTCTAACTCTTCCGCGTTTCTACCATAATAACAACATAACAACCAGCTGCCGTGATCGAATTATACAATCGATTTCTGCTTTCCTCAAATCGTATGAGTAAAAAATAAATACAGAAGCCTTAACACCAAACTCGTTTATCAGTGTAGACTGCAGAATAAATACAAATTCATGTACAGTCACGTCTCCCCTCTCTATAAGCACATCATATAGAACCTTTTTACGAATCACTAAATCCATTTGTATATTACTAGACTTGTGAAATATATCATGTAGTCACAAACTCTTCATTGTCACAATTTCAGAGTTCCGATGGCGTGACTGTACAGAGTGAGACTGTATACATAAAAAGTTACGCCATTGCAGAATAAAACTTTTAATATTATGCCAAATTCTTTGAGACTCAGGGGTAATCAATTATCAATGTCGTGTTGCGTTCGTTTGCATATAAAAGTGTATAAAAATGTCTAAATATCTAGGCAACTTTAGATAAGAGCAAATGCATAGCAGTAAACATGGTATTATCATTAGAATTCTAGGCGCAAAGTAACAATGAACCGTAATTAAATAATAAATTAAGTGATCGTATCGTCTGAATATTCCGTGTCACTTAATTTTGGGTTCATACAGATTTCTTTTTTCGCTATATACTCTATTCTCCCAAATATGATTATAGCTACACACTAGACAAAGATCCCTCCTGTATGACCCGACAAAATCCTGTTTGTTGTTGTATACACCTGTCCTAAATTAGGTTATGTAAAGGAGAAGGTGCATTCGGGTTTCAGACTTGTATTGATTCAACATAATGTTAAACACAGGAACATAATGCCTCAGTCCTATAAACACTGTTACAGATATCAGTAGGCTAGTATGAGTTGTTTTGCACAAAGCTGTATGTCTATTAAAAATACTAGAAAGTAAAGGTTTGGTCATAAGCATTAAAGATGTTTGCCAAAATTCTTGCTTTCTAAATTTTATTATATATATTATATACGCATGTCTAAGCAGATGAGCCGGCGTAGCTTAGTGGTAGAGCGTCAGTCTTGTAAACTGAAGGTCGGTGGTTCAATCCCGCCCGTCGGCTTGTTGTTCACTTCGCTCACATGTGTAGAGCTTGGAACCGTACATGTTTTTGACACGCCTCAGTATCCATTAGTATTAGTTATTGGCTGTTTCTTCTGAGGTTAGTGGATTTTTAATGTCGATCGACAGAAATTTGCCTGACAATGATCAAAACTTGTCGCTGGAAAATGACTTTGCTACGTTCTGGTCTGTTTTGTCGCTCATACACGCGACCCTTACGGCTTATGATTGCTCGACGAAGTAAATCTGATTATCTATAGTTTCAGTTTGGTGGTACATTTAGCTTGCTGTATATTTGACCCGAATATTCAACCACAGCAAAATCAACACAAAGTCAGAGTCCTTTCGTGTCCACCGGTTTGCTTGAAGAGAAGCTAAATGAAGTTGTTCCCGTCGACGGGTCTTGGCATATGCCCTGGGATAATAGGGATGCATACATGGAGTACTTGCAGAAGCGAATAGAGGTGGGGCAAACGAACGTATAATCGAAGATAATTTGTGCTGGATTTCCATGATTTGTTTTCAACTCGAGATGGATGTTTTTAGGGAGCACGATTTTTTGGTATAGATGAGATAAAAGACAAAAACTCGAACCTGCCGCATATGCTTCCTGAGCCTGAAACTTTCGCGGCGGCTGTCGGTTTGTGAACCATCTCTGATGTATGAATTCATGAAAGATAAGAGAGACTCAATTTCTTATTTTTATCGGATGTACAAGGGGACTTGGGCATAACAGAGACGGATCATGTCGTGGTGTATGACACTGTAGGGCTTTTTTCAGCACCACGAGTCTATTGGACATTTAAGGTTGTTCGACTGTTGGATTCATTTACAGTTTTGAACTTGAGCTAACATGAACTATGAAAGGTCTTTGGGCACAAGAAAGTTTCCATTCTCGAAGGTGGTTTACCGAAATGGGAAACAGAGAAGCGTCCGCTTGAAGCGGGATCATTGCACATTACGGTGTGTTAAGACCTCTATGCACTCATCGAAAAGCATGTTCGTTAAAAGTCTCGTATACTCAGCGATGTTTCCGACAATACAGCCGAAATCGTACAAAGTGCCAACCGTAAACAAGTCGCTAATACGTAATTACCAAGAAATAATTGACAACATTGAGCATGGCCCTAATGCAGAAACCTTCGCGCAGGTCGTTGATGCACGGCCCGAAGGACGGTAAGCAGGATAAGAGCATACTTTGATATTACATTCAGATGCATATAAAGTCTCATTATTCTGGTCTTTTTAAGCTATAATGGAACAGAACCTGAAGCACGCCCAGGTTTACCAAGTGGACATATGCCCTTTTCTGCCAATATCCCCTTTCCCTCAGTCATCGATAAATCTTCTGGCGCCCTTCTGGATTCCGACACTCTCAAAAAACTTTGCGAATCTAAAAACATCGATCTTGACAAACCCATCGTAGTGAGTTGTGGTAGTGGCGTTACGGCCGCAATAGTGATGCTTGCGCTGGAAAAGGCAGGTGCAAATCAACTTGCTATTTATGATGGAAGTTGGACCGAGTACGGGGCTAACGAAAAATCGCCGATTGTTGGGAAGAAATGAAGATCGCAGCTATTGAGAAATATAAAAAGGAGATACACCATTTCTAGGACTGTATCTGTTGTCTTATCTCAAGTAGTTGTAGTTTGAAATAATTCTGAATTTAGTATGTTGTTTACTTGTGAATAGCGTTTATCAACATCATGAATAAATTCGTTTAAGCTCCGTCTAGGAGACTGGAAAATAATATCTGTGATAATAAAATAAATGTATCTACATTCCGATCATTTATATAAATATTATGAATCTCTAACATTTGTTCTAGCACTATTGGAATTACTCCACTATATAAAATGTGCTTGTCTACAGATCCACAATCAAATGGTCTGCTTTATTTTGATATCCAACAGACACCCCCTCCTCCTCTCTCTCTCTTGAATCAAATCATGGGCTTCAAATTCCCATTTCTTCCTGGGGAGGATCCGGATTGGCTGTAGGTACCAAAGACGTCAGGAAAGTATAGACCGCATGTTCAAGATCTCTCATTGTGAACCGTCTGTTATTAATCGCTGCTGGAGACGCATTTGTGGTGTTTGATGCTCCAGGAGCTACCGCGCTGTTGTCAGCATTCATAGTTGTAGTTGCACGAGCTTGAGTTGAGGAGGAAGAGGAGGAAGCCTCTGGTTGACCTGTATGCGTTTGAGGGTTTGATGAACCGGTAGGAAAGTTATTTGGGTTCGGTTGCGCAAAAGCTGCTTGGTAAAGTGCCGGATCGTTTGGTATTATATTAGGAACTTGTGGTGGCTGGGGCGCTAAGAGTGAGATAATGATAAAAGTTAGACGTCGTTTATATCTTTCAAACGAATAGTAAATTTCATTAGTATACTTACGGAACGCATCATTTGGTACAACTATCCTTCGCCTTCGTACAATACGCAATCGGCCGGTTTGATACCTGCATATCATGAATGACATCGAAAACGCATAGTCAATATCACAAAGGTATAAAAATTCCTTTGAGAGAAAAATCGAGATTTAAATGATAACCTACAAGTAAATAACAAAGGCTAACAAATGCAGCAGAATCAATCGTTCTGGACTAGCGTCGTGTGCAAATATATATATAAACAGTCCCAGCTTGAAAATAAGTGCAAAGTTGTGCCGTCTACGCTGCAAACGAACATTTCCATCTTGCATAGCCTCCGCTGGTTGTTGAACAATCGCAGGCTGTGCATGGGAGGCAACTGGTTGTGGTTGAATAACAGGATATGGATACATAATTGGCATTAAATAAGGCAGCCCACTATAAGAAGCAGTAATAATGGATATTAGTCAATCAAATCAAAATTGCAATCCTAGATCCTGATGAATCGGCTATCGACTTACTTTATCAACACATAGTGCATGGGATATCCAAATGGCATTTGTATCGGGTAATTTATTACAGCTTGCTGAACTCCACCTTGCGAAACTGCTGCAAATGTTTGACCAAAGGACAACTGTGTAGCGTCTGGAAAATTGAGAACAGGGTTCTGTATTAAAGGTACCTCGGCGCCAAGTGGCATTCCTTCATAGCTCACGCCTGCAGCAGGCTGACTAGCCTCCAAACCTGACGAAGAGGCAAGTTCCCTGCTCGCAGTACTGTCAGATTGCTGACGTCGGCGTCTCATTGAAGACTGTTCTTGATATAGGCCTGCTGATACTGTTGCCCGACTTACACTTGGTTTTACAACTAAATGAAATATCTGATCACTCGACATCCCGTCTCCCAAGAGATCAACAATACGATCTGAATCATTGAGCAGACGGCCTCTATATATTAACTTTTGATTGCTAACACTAGGTTTCTGAGGGACTCTTTCATGGATGGTTTGCTTTAAGGAGAGAACGGTAGATTCAGGCGTGGTGAGTATGGAAAAGTCGTCGGCCAACGAGATGGTAGGAGAGCGGATGAATATCCGGATTTTATCTGAAAGGCTGCTGTTTGTGTGAGTGTTATTAAGTACTTCCGCCATTTGGATCTATCTGGTGAGCTGTTAGAAGACTTCTTGATATTGATGTGAATGGAAAACTCTAATCTGAGGCATGAAACAAATACATGGTTGATTTCGATTGGGTGGAGGGGTGATGTCATCAAAACTGGATCAAGTATGTTGATGATCATTTCTATATATCGCGAATAAGGGTTTTTTCTTAATTAACTTTGTTCCACATTACTATGTAATAAATAGTCTCTAATCTCATTTTGTACAGGCATCCTTTGATGAGGCAAATCATCTTTTAACTGCGAACAATAATTTCTTTATTGAATGAAGAGACTTCTCTACTAATGAAATAGTAATGTTACTGAACATACTGCACTTTGTTAAAGCCTGAATTTTTAGTGCTTGGCGCTCTTATGTAACTTGCGATTGTTGTATCAGGTACATCATTAAAATCTAAACTAAATATTTTAATACCCGCCGCACCTCAAAATTTACTATGATAACTTCTAAAAGTTATCTTTACAGGAGTCTCGCTAATGAGTAGATAAATATTATTTAAGCGTCTATTACTGGATCTCATTGTCTTTATGTAGAATCTAACCACTAAGGATGTCCCTGTTCTCAACGGGAGCATAACAAAAACGGTTATAATATGTCGAGAAATAATTACTTTAGTAAATATAAATAATTGCAATAAAGTAATTATTTCCAGTCAATCACGTAATTTTTACTCAATTGGAACAACGAGACTACATTTACGCCGTCATTTATAAAGTCAAGTTGCTTTAGGCTGTCGGTCAAATAATAATCAGTTAGTTTTGAGCTATTATAATTGTGATGATAAAATCACGTCTGCAATTGTCATTTGAGCACATTCACAATTTTGGGTGGCGACAAGTTTGCAAAATAGTTGACATCCATGCGATTGACACACAAAAAAATTTATTCCAATGTATACTAAGATATTTTAAAATTAATTAAGACAATAAAGTCTGATAGAAACTAACCTTCCTACAATACATGGGTAAGCGAGTATTTATCCGCCCGCATCCGCGCTTTTCCGTTATCTGCCGCTTTTTCACGGTTGTTTAGGTTAATTTTAGATAAGTATGATAATTTTGATTTATGTCCAATAATAAACTGGACGACTCTATTAAAAAAATTATTACAGCCGGATTATTCAAGGTTATTCAGATCACGGTAAAAACGGCGGATAATACTAAATTATAATACATAGTTGAATTAAAAGTATTTCTATTATATACTGTATTACTCGAGTTTGTCACGACATTGTAATTAGGCTAAAGTTTGATAATTTTGATTTGTAGTCATGGCAATATTTATGCAAAATTTTGAGCAGTCTTTTAACTGACATTTTTGGTTTCTAGAAATAGATTATAATGACAGATTATCAGACCAGGTTGTGAATTTAATATATACCCCCCGACTTAAACTAATTGTGTTAGATCGGATAGCGTTTGTCACGGAAGTGGCCTGTTTTGCGGATATTATTTATTACTCGGCAGACGGTACATTTCATCATCGATATGTACCAACTCTTGGTACAGTACAACCCTTATATTAATGCTATACCTTTTATTATGCTTTATTATTTCAGTAACTGGGACCATTAAAAAAAAATTATACTATCCATTAGCTTGCATTAATTTATCACTGTTAATCATTTATTTATCAACACCTAAGAATTTACAGTTAAATATATCAACTTTTTGTTCCCTGGGTCATTAATTGAGTACTGAATATTTTCAATGCAAAAGCTTTTTTTGCTTCTTCAGGATCCCTGGTGAACTGTTGCAACACCAGCTTTTCAGATGTAACAATATGGGTCCAGCCTATACATTATCGTTAACATTTTGCTTAATATATGCTACGTTCAGTTTAAAGAAAGGCTATTTCTACCCACGAGTGATAGGCTTGTGATAGTGGTAGTATTTGTTTAGTGGATAGTCCAGCAACAGGGTTTATTTCAGATAACAAATGCGATAAATACTTCTTCCTTATTGAGAAATGACAAACGTACCATACCCAATTGATGATACGGTGCCAAATGCGATAGTACAGTACAGTGCTTATTTATTGCTGTTTTCAAATGGTGCGATCATCACAAAATAAAAATAATTTTTTGAAAACGATTATGAAGACGATTATAAAAACGTGACTACAGTCTACCAATAGAATTTAAGGAGAAAAGTGTTACACGATAAATAGATGAATGGCTCCTTACAATCTCGGCGCGTGCCATATGTTGATGAAATTCCTAGAGGAGTATAAATTGCTGCAAGTGTCACAAAAAAAAGAAAAAAATGACAATCATCAAAAATATAGAAAGATCAACCAATCATAATGCTTGACGCCATCCCCAATGTAGTAACTGTTACACAAATATCAGTAGAGCGGGGTGAGATTTAATAGTAAACGGCAATGATGTATCAGTATAAAGGTTATAGCGGGGTTTATTATAATTTATCAGTATAACGGGGAAAATTTTCTATCTAAATTTTGGGAGCAACGTTTTCAATCGTTATATCGAGGTTATCGGTATAGCGGGTATCGGTACAACGAGGTTTGACTGTATATATGTTGGGGGTATTTACTTAGTAGCTTCAGGTGATATAAAGCAATCTTGTCAGTGAATCCAAATTACAGGCAAATTTGTCTGTAATACAGTTTAAGGATAAGCTCAGTAAACATATACATTATTTGCATCTCAATTTGTATAGATCTATCAATCTGTCACCTTCTAATAAAGTTTATCTTGCATTCTTAAGGACATGTTGATGTTTCCTTAGTACGATTGTAAGCTATAGAAACATCTTCAAGTCTCATTTTATTACCCAACAAATCTACATACTACAATGTACAGTCGAACCTGGTTATAATGAATCCTATGGGCCAGAGAAAATATTCCTTATAACCAAGTTTCTTAATGAAATTCGCTATAGCCAGCCAGATACTCAAAAACGATTGGATTTGTCTTCATTATAAACAGATCTTCGTCATAATCAGATTCGACTGTATATATGTATACAGTACGTTAATCCTAGATTGTAATTAATCTATCCCTATTTATACCTGCGGGTTTATTTTCGATAGTCTATAGGTAAACTGGGAAGACTATTATCTACTCTATACGCGTTTACAGACAATTCGTATTGCGCCAACCGGAATGATCGATGGACCAGATCGATTATTCTCGGATTAACGGTTTTCACGCTCTACCAACGCGATTACCAGGTAATTTGAATGAATGCACCCTCCATAAATGGACGCCTTACCTTATTTCCAAGCTCGAGAATATGGAGGGGGTACATTTATCTCTAATACTACAGTGGTCGTCATAAATATCCGGATATTTATGACGACCACTGTAATGCAGGAATGTACAAAAAGGATAACGATTTTTATTTTCATGTTCGCATATTTGGCATTTTTGAATATGTCGTATCTTTATTAGAATCGTTGTGATAACGCAAACGACTTAGAATCGCTTGCCATTAACAAGACCACTCTAAAGAGTTGTGAGTGCTTGAACGTTACATCAATAAAATTAAAATGCTGACCCTCCATAAATGCTAAACGCACACTCCGACCCTGTAATATTGAACATTTGCTATGTCACATGAAACCAATCAGATTCTTCCCTCTCTCCTATAAATGCACACTTTCTTTCATCCCCAAGGGCGTGCATTTATGGAGGGTTCACTGTATTATTCATAAGAGAAGAATTTGTTGTCAGGATCATAAGATCGTCCCATTGTTTAAGAGATCGACATATTAGCCGTGATGTAATAGGACGCTTTTTTTTTTGAAACTTCCAGCAGCAGTTGTACAAACAATCATTGTTCGAAGCATCAATAAGTCGCTTGGCAATTAAAAGAACTTAACAGATGCTTTCTAGGATTTCGAACTTGGCATTAAAGAAGCAGCTAAAGCAATTAGCGAAAATTAGCTTTCAGGTAGCTTAATAGCTTTGTGTAGTATTCGTTTAGTTTGGATATAAGCAACCTTTTACATATCTTTCCCAACTATAGACTCGATATGCTTCCACTGCCACAGAAGCTAACAAAGCGGTTAGTCTCATTAATAATTATTGGCATATTGTTTGTTGATAAGTATTACTTAATTACGCTTGATTGTAAATGATTGTATGAATTACTATTGACCTCTTAGTAATACTAGAACAAATCATTATAAGTTTTAATTTTGACGTACACATCATTGCAATTAGCCATGTCGTAAGCTTCAAATATATCCATGTCAATTGGCTAATTGACGCGTTTAACAACTCCTCCAGGACAAGAGAACGATTGCAATTACAGCCGTCGCAGCTGCAACTGTTGCCGGTGGCATTGGCTATTATGTGTATGCAAATCCTGTTCATGCCACCAGCTTAGCGGATGATGGTCTTCATCCACCAGCTTATCCGTGGTCCCATAAACCGATATGGGCCACCTTTGATCATGCTGGGTAAATATATTTCAAAGTGATTAATGTTCTTTGTCTTTTTCGCCTTAATGCGTGTTAATGTCTTATATCAATTAGCATTCGGCGTGGTTATCAAGTCTATAAAGAAGTCTGTTCTACATGCCATTCGCTTGAACGCATAGCTTGGCGTAACTTTGTTGGTGTCTCACACACTTTGGATGAAGCGAAAGCCATGGCTGAGGAGGTGGAGTATACTGATGGCCCTGACGATAGCGGCGAGTATTTTCAACGTCCCGGTAAATTATCAGATTATTTGCCACGACCATATCCAAATGAAGAAGCTGCCCGCGCTGCCAATGCCGGTGCTCTGCCCCCCGATCTCTCTTTGATGATTAAGGCCCGTCATGGTGGATGCGTATGTATAGGAAACTTGTTATTTTATCCGTACATTTGTACGTTAATGTGGAGTTCAACATTTGGTTATTGTGACTATTTTATTAGCAAGAAATAATGCTCATCACTTTTCTAGGATTACGTCTTCTCGCTGCTTACTGGCTATGTCGATCCACCGGCAGGAATCGAAATAAGAGAGGGACTTCACTACAATCCTTACTTTCCCGGCGGTGCTATCGGCATGGCTCGAGTTTTGTACGATGGACTTGTCGAATATGAAGACGGTGAGAATAATATCGTCCAAATGCTATTGATATCGAAGACCATCTTAGCTAATTGCCACATGTTTACGCAGGCACACCGGCCACTACATCTCAGATGGCTAAGGATGTAGTAACATTCCTCAATTGGGCCGCTGAGCCCGAGCATGACGAAAGAAAGAAAATGGGTTTGAAAGCAATAACTATTCTGTCTGTGATGTTTATACTGTCGATTTATTTAAAACGACACAAATTTACTGTCCTTAAGTCAAGAAAGATTGTGTAAGTATTGATAGCAACCGTGTTTGTTTAGATGGATTGTTGTTTTATACTTATTAATGGTATTCGTCTATTACAAAGGTTTGCCCCTCCGAAGAGTTAAGGTCAGGAGATTTAGACGGGAACTTCATTATATGATAAACATTGTGTTACCAAAAGTCTTTGGACAATCATAATAAAATTAAAGTCAACCAGTCTCTTGTAATTTTTATGAAAACTTGGCTGGCCAGTTTTGTGATGAAACATCTTCCTGAGGCTAATAAGATGCATGGGAAGTGACAGCTCTGATTCTAAACATACAAGCAGCATATCCAAAGAATTCCTTCAAAATAATCTCTTGACTATTATAGACGAGTCCTCTAATAATCCTGATGTAAATCCTATTGAAACTTGCGGATTATCATTAAGTGAAAGTGAAGAAGTGACAGCCGACAGTTTACGGTAGAGAAATGGAATAATATTCTGTAAAATATTATAAATAAGTTAATTAGGCCTACAAAGGAATATTGTCAATTTATCATCTATAATACTGGGGAACTAAATTCCTCCTTTGTTTTCTTTAATATGTAAATCTTTTGGTTCTTGGCATCAAATGAGTATCTAATTATATAAAATAATGCAGTCATATCAAAGCTATGGCTAAATATAAATGTCTGTATACCAATACTAATTATACGATTCTCATTGTATCTTCAGCATATGCTTGTTCATCATAATCACCATATGATATAAAATATAATAATCAAGAATGTAATATTCTGGTGTCGTTCGTTGCAGTGGGTCTCATTCTAAGAATAAGAATTCGATGGAAAAGTTGATAGTTTTAATTACTGTCTATTACTATATAGAGAACACAAACTCCAGAATCAAAACAAACAACACCATGAGCGTTCCATGTATCTAGTAGTATTAGAGAACGCAATTTCAGGATCAAAACAGGCAAGCCCAGATTGAATTGATATGTAACGAATAATTGTTATTAATTAACCAGCAGCCCTAATTGTGAAATAAATTAGCCCAATTGAAACCGTAGAACAACGATAAAGTGACAGTAGAAACTGTTGTAATATTACGACGAGCTGATTATAAATAATAGATTGACACAAAATCTGAGAGATTGAAAGTATCCATTATTGTTGTCCTCTGAACTCTATATTGTGAGGTGAAGCAGAGAGTCCCAAACGCGTGCATATTATAAGACATTCCCCAACCCGCAAGACACCCGCCTACATACACACAATGAACCAGCAACGAGCCAAGCAACAACCGCGCAACGGATTCCACGATAAACCATCAAACTAGCCTCTCCTCAATAAACGCGGCGTGCAAGTAAAGCAAGCCATCGCCGCACGAGACAGAAGGAGAGCGTTTGTAGTGAAGCGATTGCGGTTGCAGAAAAATGGCCAAGTTGTATCTGACTGTAACAAAAGTTTTTAGAATTTTTTATTTACTCGTTGCTCAAAAACGACTGCATAAAATACAGCCAAAAGCCAAAAGTCTTTATTGACATAAATTTAATAATTTGTTCTTTCGCCATTGTTTATTATATTATTACCTCACATCTCCTTTTCATTAATCTGATACAGTTAATTAGAATGCTATCCTTGTTTTTCTGCCATATATTGCTCTAATTCTCTGATCGGTCACCCTTATACCAATAAGCAAAGCAGTTTTGTCGGAAAACTAACGTGGTTTTCCGATGGTTATTGAGGTGTCTGGCTGTCCAACCAACATAAGAGCGACAGTCTTTAGAGATGGACTGTTTTGTAACCCAATCTTGCCAAATGTCTTGAAATTATCATATGACACCTTTGTGATATTGTTGTCATGCCAGCTTAGAACATATTTCCTTTGCTCAGGTGATTAATTCGGCCACAATTGTAATGTTTGAGTGTTTTTACTAGAAGATATCATTGTAAAAGTAATTTCTACTTTAAAATTTATTAGCTTACAGTTTAGGATATAACTTATTTACACGTGAAATTCGTTTGGATTGATAATCGATAAGCCCCGATAACCACCATCAATGACGTACTTCTTTACCTCACAATTTGCTGCCCTCGTTATTTGGATGACAAAGATAAGGTCAGACCCAACTTTCTTTTACATGATCACGTGTATCTTTGAGATTATACTTAAAAATTGAAGACGCTGCATATAATGATATTTGCATTTAACTATCGCGAGGAACTGATATTTGCATTTAACGTAACCATCTTTTCTTCAGCAATATTAATGCATTATATTATCTCTCTTTTCAAAATTCTGCAGTCACAGAACATTTGGTCACAACTTTTTTTGCGAAAACAGCGATTATAATGTGAAAACAAGTAAAAACTTCGTGAAACCTTCTGCGAGCCAGTGACTACTAAACCTTTCTGAAGAGTAGAAGATGCCTACTTAATACAACTTTACCTCTTTACTTAGCGCAAGGCAAGAAAATAAAGCTTGTTGGGTTGTTATACCAGCGATTATAAACCGATTATGAGGCGATTATGTTGTATGTCCATTTGGAATCATAAAGACAATCAGGTAACAACATTATAAAATTATTTTATTAACATTACAATATTAACTCTACTGCATA